AGAATGCAATTATTTTAACTGTTTTATACAATTTAAAACTGACGTCAAGCGTTTTCTGATATGTAACAATATCACTGTTGCGGAATGGGCACCCCCATTCCATTCCAATTCCATTCCGGGGAATTAGAGTTTTCAATAATTCAATTCCTTTCAATTCCTAGGAATGGAGACACTGAGCCCATTCCCACTCCTGGAATGGCTGAGTCGTTCCATTCCATTCCTTTAATTCCCAAACGTAAAAATTGGCTCCTGAGAGCTACATTTTGTTGCCGAAATAAGCAGCATAATGCTGATATTTTAAATGCAGAGACATTTGCAAAAAAAAAAAAAAAGCAAAATTCCTCAAAAAGCACGGATTTTTACTAAGCGGACCGCTGGTGGCAGAAAGTGTTTGTTTACAATGTACTGCAAACATCGAGAAAGCCCCTTGATATGTCGATGCTTGTTTAAGACATCGGTCTCGCGATCAGATGGCTCGCATCAAACAGCAAAACTTTAATCCACCCATTTTATTTTTTTTTTTTTTTTTACTTTTTTGCATTTGACTTTTAGGACATACGCGGCCAGGGTGTTTGTTTCATAAGACCATAAAAATATGCAGTTCGTGCGTGGCGCAGGAATAAGCTATATTACTGTATTCTTCAAATACAGCGACACGGCTAGTATACTGCTGGAAGCGACTCCATGCACAGCGGCAAGAACAGGCTCCGACAAAATGCAACCTGTGCGGCGCAGCACGAGGGACCGTACTATAGACCATGTCACGAAACCTGTTTTAAAACGGATAGTTCACGCTTGGTTTACGAATCTCGATATTTCTTATCATATTCAATTCAATTTTTGCCTGGTTCGCCTGCCCTTTTCCACCCTTCGCATACTCATGCTCGTGTTGCCTCTTCAGATGGAGAATAAAGTTCGATGATATCCGCCGACTGCACCATGTATAGTTTCGTTGCACAACTTTCAGCGTGCAGCTTGTGTATTTTCTTCGCGACTAATGCAGAAAAATGTCTTCTACGATGCCATGACTCGATGTGTATTTATCTTGTCTTCTCGTCCGAATTGTGATGTTCCTCTTCGCGCTGATCATGGTGGGTTCAGGCAGCAGACGGTTTCAACCGATTCATTCTTATACCTCGGTGTCGGTTGTTCGCGCTGTGGCGACGGGTCGGGATGTCAGCGTTGACAAAGCTCTTCACATCAAGATACAATTAACGAGGTAATACCGCACCGTTCGAATTGGCATTCCCCGTCTCCCCTCAACACCACCGTCCAGCTGACTTCTCATCGCCTCAAACAGGGTCCAGGACAAGGAGCACGAATGCAGACCGGACAGCCGAGACGCGCGGAAGCCAAAACCTCAGTGGCAGCCCAGCTCTCCTTCTCAGTTGCCCTCACAGCAACGGTCGCCCCTCGCCTGGCGCGAGACGATCTTTCTGCAGGTCTTGTCAGTTCGGTCACACCAAGAGCGGTAACGATAGACTACTTCACCTTACGATGGACCTCAACAGACAGCACGAGAGCCATCGAAACCAATCCAGTGCTTTCTGAGTGTCGCGTGACCCTGCAATCCCGCTCACGGTGCTGGATTGCCAAGGTGACTCGTAGAGGAAACGGCAGGACACGGCAGGAAAACATATAACACAGAAAACAAGCATCGGAACAAAGACCAAGTAATAGGCCGACTTACACTACAAATGCAGTATAAAAACACAAGCCTCGGAGCAAAGCGCAAGAGGAGAAGAGGGAAGTGTATCTCGCTTTGGTTTGAATGCCGAAGCAAACCCACATTTCGCACTTCAAAGGAGTGCGCACGAACGAACGTGGAAGGCAGCAGGATTGGCTGCCTGCTAAACAACGCGCCTCGAACTATAAGTAAACAATACCTGATCATCCTTCGACGGCGCCCGAGTCAACGAGTTATCAGAGCTCTGCGAGTTATGAGTCGGTTCGGCTCCCAGATTTCAGTCCGTGCGCGCGCGTGCATTCTCCAAACCGCCGCAACAACAACAAAAAAAGCATGACAAGAAGGACGATGAGGAGTTGTGCATGGCGGTTTCTTTCTTTGCCACTCCCTTTTCTTTTGCTTGGTGCTTGGTTTCTTGTTTCGCTCTCGTGTAACGCCATCGAAGCCCGACGCCTGCGCGTCCGTGAAAGGCGCCACGTTACCCCCCTTTCCCCCATTGCTCTTTGCTTTGACGCTTGCTTTTTGTATTGCATTTTTTTTTTTTTTGCGTATAAGTCTGTTAGGGCTCCACGCGGGCTAGCAGTTTCCCGCTCATTTTATTTCTGAGGAACTGACTCGCTCACTGGCTCGGTTTAACTAACCGTAAACACTAAAAAAAAAAAAAAAAAAAGCAGAAGAACCGTGACCATTCCATTCCCATTTCATTCCGGGCAAAAGACACCTAATTCCATTCCCATTCCATTCCCCTCAACGTTGCCGCCATTCCATTCCCATTCCATTCCGGGGTCGTGAAAATGAGAAATGATTCCTGAATCATTCCAACTCCGGAGTGGCAACTCCGCAACACTGAACAATATTGCTTTTAATAACTCACGTGTTCACTCGTTTGCGTAGATTTTTTTTATTTTTATTGAAACTATATTTTACGATAGTTTGTATACAACATGTGGTTGCTTCCATCTCTTGTTTTAAAAAGAAGCATACCTACTATGGTATTCACTCTGACTGTGTGTGTGTTTAAGTGCCTGAATTGTATTACAATTGCGTTTCAAGTGCCTAATTTTGTTTTATTATTTCTGAATTGCGTGTTGTTAAGCAACTACTGTGCAAATAACATTTCTATATGCTGTTAGGTTTTTATTTTGTAGTGTTTGTTATTATCTCATTTAAATAATACTGTTCAGCTGTAACGGGCGGACAGGGCTCGTCAGGCAGAAATGCCTTTTCCCTCTTGAGCCATGCCGGCCGCGACCTAACGAATTAAGAAAGAAAAAAAAAAAGAACAAACAAACACAATAAAAAGAAAGGAAGAAATAAATAAAGAAATAAAGAAAGAAACAAAGAAAGAAACAAACAAATAAAAGAAAGAAAGAAACCAAATGACCTTCCAAATTCATATGATTTGGTTTCCAGCGTAGAAGATTAGCACTCAGGTGGCGTGTCCAGTGCTTAAAGTCTCCCGTAAGTTGAGGGGGGTCCCTACAAGAAGGGGGGGGGGGGGGGGGTTCTGACGAGATGTACTAGATGCACATAAAATAAGCACCCCTGCTGAACCTACTCACGCTTTACATGCAACCCTCAAATTGCTAATCTCCAAATGTTGCATCCCTGAAAACAAGCTATTTTATTGCAAGATATTATTTTGATTTCACTAATGCTGGGGTTGTGCAGGAGGGTCTAAGACCATCCTTTAAAATCAGTGGGGGGTCCGAGACCCCCTGAGACCCCCCAGACTTTAAGCCCTGGTGTCATGTTATACTAAGACCGGGATTGGCATAAAGTGCCCGTTTTAAGTTTGGAAGTTAGTCAATCAATACAGTGTGTAATTTTCTATTTCTGAAAAGACCACCAGACATTGATTGTAAATGAATAATTGAAGAGGCCACTTAGACGAACTTAGTTACGTAGCTGAATTCTGTGCGACGTATAAGAGAGTAGCTTGCAGGTGGAGGTAGTTCTGAGGTATAACGAATATTGTCAATGGGCGACCGGAGTGAGTATCACACGTAGAAAACTTATGTGTCGCCTGGAACATTCCGTTGTAAATTAAAACTCTAATTTTAGGGCCTTTATTCTCCAAATGATAACTATGCGTATATTTTGCTTGGAGCACATGAAGATTTCGGCTCTCTACGAAAAACGTTCGGTAAACGTTTATGTCCTTTTGCCCTGTTACCCTACACCTTGTGCATAAATAAAAACCAATCAATTTCAATACAATTCAATTAAAAAATATGCTTAGATGTATTTAGAAAGAAGCTGTACGATATGTCACTAAGGATGAGGCAAGTACGTGAAACGATGTGCGAAGTATTACATCGGGGTGTATCATTTTTAGGACTAGGCTCATTTTACAGGGTGACTCAAGGAGACGCCAGGCTCTTTAAATCGACCGAAAAATTCGGTTTCTTAACCTATCGCGCTACGACCTTGTGCAGCGTTGCCCATAGATCGTGCATTTTTTTTTTGTGAAATTTGCAAAGAGCCAACTTACCTGACGAAAAAGTAAAGAAAAAAAAAAAGGCTTAGCTCCTCTGGAAACGCAGCGAAGCCACCGGTCTTCAAACAACACGGCGCCGTTTCGCACGGGTGACGAGAGATGGCGCAACGAACGCCGCCAACGAACGAGCATACGACGCCGAGAGCCGGCGTCTTTAGCAGACGAGCTTTTCGACTCAAAAGCGGCGCGTGTTCCACAGGCGGCGACAGTCGCGGAAACAAAAACAGGCGCGGTAACAACAAGGAACTGCAATTCCTTGTCTGCTAAAGACGCCGGCTCTTGGCGTCGTATGCTCGTTCGTTGGCGGCAGTTGGTGTCGCGACCGCTTGCGCCATCTCTTGTCTCCAGTGCGAAACGGCGCCGTGTTGTTTGAAGACCGGTGGCTTCGCTTCGTTTCCATAGGAGTTAAGATTTTTCTTTCTTTACTTTTTCCTCAGGCAAGTTCGCTCTTTCCAAATTTTACAAAAAAAAAAATGCACCATCTGTGGGCAACGCTGCACAAGAAACCGAATTTTGCGGTCGATTTAAAGAGCCTGGCCTCCCCTTGGATCACCCTGTAGAACGTCTCATTCGCCCCGGTTTACAATGACTTTCTCTCTGACAGATTTAAAGGAAACTAGACACACAGGCATTTTTTTAGAATTTTATACATGTATGTTTGGCATATATGTTTGTGCAAAAAAAAAGAAGTCACCAAAGATTTAAACAACTTCTACTATTTTGCTAATGTAATTAATGCAAATGTGCCGCGAACTGTAAAAGAATTCTATTAATCTGGCGGTTTTTCTCGTTATTTTTTTTTCTTTTTTGCAGGCAGAAACGTTTTTCATGTTCATGTCACAGCTGATGACGGTACTGGCGTACCTAATCCTGGGACCGGCCCCTTTCATCCCCACTTCACCGTAAGGTACTTTTTTTTTAAACGAGAATTCGGCAAAACAAAAAACACTTTTACGTTAATGCGACTATTATGCTCACGCGAAAAAGGCAATTCCGGTCAAAGCCACTGACAAGAAAGTTGGGCCAGCAGACCTAAGGGCTCGCGAGCATGGCTCAATCTATCATAGCAACACCACCTACACTCGTTGTCACATAAACGAAAAAAGCAAGTTTTGCGCATTATTCATGCGCGTCATTAAGTAGATTGTACAAGATTTGGCTGTGGGAAGAAGAAACGATGCTTTTTTTGGCGTTTAAATCGTAAACAGCCTTCATAGAATTTACGTAAAGCTAATCTAAGATACCCTCCCCCCTCCATTAATATATATCTTAGTTCAACACATGAAGGGAGAAATTGGTAAAGTTCCGCGAAGATCGGGACTTTTTTTTTTTTTTTTTCTACGGGTTTTGAGGGGCATACAAGTATAGTCGTATCGTCCTCCCCGTACGCCAGCGCTGCGTAGGCTAGCTGTTCCGGGCTATCACAGCCAGGGTCTCGCTGCAGAACCACTCTGGGATCGTCTTAGCCGAGGCCGGTATGGCCAGGGCTCGCCGCTTTCGCCGGTCCTGATCCGAACTTCGCAGGCGGAATTCTCCCGGGAATCGCCATGGGCCAGAACAGCCAGAACGGCTCTATCGTTCCTGCCCGGCCCCAGCCTCGTGCAGCACGCGCTTCCTCTTTCCTCGCCGGCTGGGCCCCGCTCGCGCCTCGCTCGGCCGTTCTCTCCTCCCGACGCCCACACACACTAGAATAAAAATTGGGTAATTAGAACCAAACTGACCAAACTCCGCTCCGCCGCCGTACGCACATGGCAAAGCCTGGTGTAAAAAGGCGACAAGCAACAAAGCGTACGTGTAAGAAGGATATTTAAGCTTCGCACGAGCTTTTTCTAAAGAAAAACTTTAGCATCCTGCTTTCTGCACGCCGTCCCATTTGTTACCAGCCTCAGCATTAAATTTGGTTGCTGAAACACACAAAGCTTTGTACTACAAAAATCCACTATTTGAAAACTCGCAGGCTTGGAAGGTTTTGGTTGCGACCACGCGTGCCGAACGGCATTAGGAGTGCCGGAACGGGCCGACGGGCCTTTCGCTGGAAGGCCTGATCGCCCGATTCTCGACGTCACAGCGAAGCAACAATCGGCCCGATATCGTTCCTATCGTATTTCCCTATGTGGCTGTCAAAGCGACTCGTAATACAACTTGTATAAATATGTTACTTTGCCGAGTAGTTTGCAAAATGAGCTCGTCTGACCACTTTCCAAGCCTGCACATATATTTTCCTTCCCATCATCCCCCCCTCCCCCCAAGTTTCTGTAAAATTCACTTACTTCATGCGTTGCACTGCAGTAATCCACTTCTGTCGCCGTGTCGCTTCCCAAGATCTCGAAGGGAAGCGGTCAAGTTTGACGCTTGAGTCCCCTTCGCGACTGTGGCCGTCTTTCACGCAGCAGCGTTTATTTTTTGGGGTAACTCTAGGAGTAGGCGAGATCTTACAGGAACCCGGTGAGGTCATCGAGACGTGAAGTTGGGACTACCTTTTACGAAAAACGGTTCCAAAAAAGCTCACGCCGATCCGAAATGCAACGTTCACCGCACTTGGTTTCTGGATGCGCCCGCCCGCAGCCCCCGCGACCCTCGCAGGCCTGGCCTACCCAGTTTCTTTATTTTGCAGCCGCTAGATGGCGCAACGTGTAGCGCCAAACTGCCATTGCAGGTTGCCTATAAAACAACCAAGGCCCACGAACATCCTCCTCTTCCTCCGTAGAAAGTCATCAAAGTCGGATGACGCCAATTCAGCAATGGGGTCCGAGGCCGACGCCGGACGTCTTCCAACACTTTGATTGGACACGAATCCCAACCGAACGGTGACGCCGCACTCGTGTCCAATCTGTGCCTTCGCTCGATCTCACTGTGATGACCTCAAAACTCTAGTGCACAGGCTTTAACCATTCTAGGTGATGTCGGTTGTAACCGAAAACAACCCACGCTTCGTCTTTCCAGTGGAGCTGCGAGCCTACTGCTTTTGTAACTGCCGCCCCGATGACACAATGCCACTCAACACGCCGAATTTGACACCTATTTTGGTTGAACCATGCGTTAACCGTGAGAAGACACTTCGTTAGCGTCCCGAAAGCTTTTCGCATCTTATAACATAATCAAGTAGCTTCCAATCTGCCGTCAGGCATCTTCTCCTTCTGTTCTCTGCCTCGTACCTTTTCCCAAATATACGATACAATATTTCAGTCCCTCTGACAAGACAAATACGTGAACAAGACAATTGAACATGTCTCGTTATTGCATCATTCAGGCAATATTTTGAAGTTGGACTATAGTCTATCTCATATCATAATTATGTGGTTGTTCGCGATATTAAATATGCATTCTCAAACGTAACATTTCACGATCAGTTGCTTCAAATTTAACTATATTTGAGGGGATATTTAGTCTCCGCAGTAGCGCGCACAAGGGAACACATAAAGTTTCCCGGCTAATACAATGCTGCAGCCCCCCTCCCCGCAGTGAAGCTAGACCTTCCCAGAGAAAATGCTCTGAAAAGAACTGAACTCGCGTGTCAGGTAATTCGACTGAATTCTAATCAACAGCTCGTGCGTTAAGACCGCTGTCGCAATTTAGATATACTTTTCAGTCAATGCGAACATGTGCCAATGCAAGGGTAATGTTTTATGGCGTATGTTGGAAAATTGGAAGTTAAAGAAACAGTAATCCCGTCCTCTCATTCATTACAAACAACCAAAAAACAACACACAAAACGATTTCATGAGAGCGACTGCTCTTTTTAGCTGGCTCTTTGCATTGACATAACGAAACTAAACCGGCATCGGTGTTGGAACGCTCCTTCTTGAAAAAAACATGAGGCCAATAGTAATGCGCAGTAAGATTAAAGCAGGTTCGAACCCTTCCTACCAGCACATTTGATCTCCACCCCACCATTCGCGTCATAGATAAGGCGTAGGCAAAGGGGGGGGGGGGGGGGGGGGGGGGCTTATGAGATTTCAGTCCCCCCCTCCCTGCTTCCGCACCCTAATTCATGGATATCCCAGCTCTATCAGCCTCCCCCCCCCCCCCTCTGCGAAAAATATTCCTGGCTACGCTTCTGCGTCATAGCGTTTATTTATTCATTTATTTATTTCAGTCTCTGGGACTAGGACATTAGAAGGGGGGGGGGGGGGGGGTAAAAAATACAGGAATAACAAACAACATGAAACAGCAAAACATCAGGGGTTAAACAGTCGGAAAATTCATTGTCAATAGCACTTGATTGAAACAGAGCACGATCATTAACTATGTAAGAGATTAAAATAACCGATACCATTCTTTCGTGACTTTCGGGAGGAATGAGTTAAAATATTTATTATATTGGCAAGATAGAATTACCACTTTCTTCTGGTTATCCAGACGAGCAGAAAAGAACGAAGGTGGGGTTTTTGTACTGACTTCGGAGTAGCGGGTTGTGGTGGAGACTTTTTTGAAAAATGCAAATGCTAGTAATTCTACGACGATGTGCGAGACTGGGTAGAAGTAAAATGTTTTTCATTGATGTGACGCTTGAGGTGCGGTTATAATTTCTCAGGATAAAGCGTGCGGAGTTGTTTTGTACTAATTCGATAGAGTCTGCATGGCAAGTCGTACCAGGATCCCAAATGGAGGCTCCATATTCAAGCTTGGAGCGCACAAATGTTTTATAAAGAAATAATTTGAACGCAAATGGGGCAAAAATGGCGTTCTGTAAGTGCCATATTCACGGTTTACTTATTCGTAATTCAGGAGTGAATATTCATAATTTATAAACATCCGGGTTGGGCCTTGCCTGACTTTATTGCACATTTAATAACTTTTAATTTTTTGAAACTTTCTTTTATAGATGCTTTTGATTATTCTGTTAGGTAAAATTCTCGATTCGTTTTTTAGAACTAATTTTATAGCAACATATGTTTGCATAAATAATCGCGCCCTCTTAGGTTCAGTTAAAAGGAAGTTAATGAAATCTTATAACTTAGCCAACTAATTTTGTTTAGCTTTGCAACAATACGGAGAAACTCGGTCATATCGTAAATGCCCTTTTTTATGAATAAAGCGAAAACCAATCCATGTCAGCGAGACAAATATTCTTTAAAGTCTTAACTTTATTTTCGCATTTCTTCAAGGGCCCTGTGGATGGTGTACCTGTCACAAGTTCTCACCGGCGTCGGAATGTCGGGGCAGTTTATTTGTTCCTTCTGCCATGCCCTCAAGTACTGCATGTAAGTAGATCAGATTCGGCAAACGGCGACCTCTTATCGGAACAGTTGTGAACAAAACGAAGAGCAGCAGACATTGTTCAATTCTTCGTTTCCTTCTTTTCTGACATTGAGCGCCAAATGTGAGCATGCAAGTGTTTAGGATGTCTCAGAGATATCCTGAAGTGTTAATATATCCCACAGAGAGACAATGCTCTCCATTCCCACATAGCCATTAGCTGAAATCATCAAGCGATTCGAACACTCAAATATGCGGCGTTAGTCCGCCACTTGCTACTAGCGTTAAACACAGATGTCAAAGAAAGTTACCAGAATGATAAGGGGACTGCAGACTTTCCCCAAATTTAGATGTTCAGCAACATATATCTGTTCGCTCGTATATCGATCAAACGTAACAAAGCATGCTCTATTAATTTCCTCCAGTCGCCTAGATGAGCTTCTAAATAAATTGAGCTCAATGACGTAAACAGATAATAGGTAGTTGTTTTTAGAGCGCAGCTCTTAGGGGCCCGTTCCCGGCTTGAGCGGCGTCGGCGTCGGCGTAACCAAGGCCAACCCAAGGTCACGCGACCCCCAAGGTCATTCAAAGGTCACCCCATGGTCACGTGACCCCCAGAGGTCACGTGACCCCTCCCCCAGGGTCACGTGACACCTCCCCAGAGGTCACGTGACCCCCCCCCCCCAAGGTCACGTGACACCCGAAGTCACGTGACCCCCCGAGGTCACGTGACCCTCTCCCCGAAGTCACGTGACCACCCCCCGAGGTCACGTGACCACCCCCGAGGTCACGTGACCACCCCCAGGGTCACGTGACCCCCCGCCGAGGTCACGTGACCTCCCCGATGACGTCATCGTCACTGATGACGTCACCGGCATCCGCATCGTCATCGTCATCATCACTAATGATGTCATCAGTGACGTCACTGATGACATCATCGGAATCGTCACGTGACCCCCAAGGTCACGTCACCCCCCCAGGTCACTTCATTCCCCCCCCCAGTACACTTCCCTCCTCCTCCTCAAGAGCTGCGCTCTAATTCGGTGTTACAGGGAGTTGTAAACGGGTTTGTTTTATATTATTCTAACAGACATTCTGCCACTCAAAGTAAATTTAATAATATATAATTAATACTTTATAAGGAATATAAATTGTGAAAACGTTAGGATCCGGTACAACTACTTACATGAACCATCAAAATATATATTCATAACACCGAGAAGCATTTGCAATGCCTCAGCTGAACTGTACAACAGAAATTTCTATTAGCCTGCTTCGTAAAATTTAGACATGATGATTACTGTTTAAACGGCTAGGTAAGAACCGAAAAAAAATATTGACATGCGCCATCTTTAACATTTAGCTGATTTAACAAAAGAGCGAATTCATGTTTAACATTAAAGCTGGTGCATTGTTAAGTACAATTTGTTATAATCCTTCCGATCTCTGTCAACCAGTTCAGCATACGAAATATCGCACTTGACAATTTGGCAATAAGCATGCTTAGGGGTAGGATACTTTTTTTTATCAAATCACCAAAATTTGAACGGCGACTATTTTCCCTGTCACGTCCTAGTTGTATTTTCTTTTTTTCTTTTTTTTGTGTAAGTGTGTTGTATACGTTCTTACTCTATAAGTTTACTGACGCTCTGTATTGGTTACTTGTAAATGTATGAGTCTATATTTTGATATGTGATTACCCCCTTTTACCTTTTTTTTAAGCTTTTTTCTTTCTTTATTTGTTTTCCTTCGGGCAGAGCCCGAAAGAAGGGCCAGTGCAAAAGGCTAAAAAAGCCTGACGTGGCACTGGTCCCTTACAGTCCACACATAAGAAAAATAACATGAAAATGCATTCTATCTAACCAAATAATGCAGCAGGATAAAAAAAAAAAAAAAAAAAAAAAACTTTTACAGAACTGAGGCACACATACATAACACAAATGCAACAACCTTAGGGTCTTAGAGAGTGGGAAGCTGTTTCTAACAGTTTCCTTCACCTTGAATCCTCCAACAATGTTTTTTATTTGAAAATATAGAATCATTAACTATTCAATGACTTACTTGGTCATCAGTAATAAGATCGAGGTTTCTTGAAAATTGGAGGAGTCGTCATTAAAACTCATTATCGGCAACAACAAAAAAAATCTCGTCTGCTGTATTTTGTTTTGTGTTTTTTCTAAAGGTAATTCCACAGTTTGCGATGACCGGCTCTTCAAATGCACGGAACGAAAGTGAACTAACGAGCACTATAAGAGTGTGGGGCCCGTTACGAAGTCAGGAGCTGTTGTAGGGTACCAGAAGCGTAGAAACCACCAAAACAAATCATAGCTCCTCTTCAATTTTAGAAAACGAGGATATCCCGATGACGTTCGGACATCCGGATTTGTGTCATCCGTTGTCTTCACATTTCTTGTGTTTGGGTGAGTCTGTAGTTTTTACTTTCTTTTTCTCGCGGTCTTTACTGCTCCGCCTTTTCCTGTCAAAAGCAAGGGGTAAATATAAATACTACCTATATGATCTGAAAATGTCAAGCTTTTGTAGGAATAACAGCTAGCGTTACAAAAATGACTTGGCGAGCGAATCTGTTCGACATCAGTCGGTATTTCAAAATCTAAGATTATAGTTAGAGTTTATGAAGTACTTTCTGGTCTTCTTATTTAGCGAGACGGACATAAGAACCCTATCTGTGCTGAAATAAAACGCACGCCATTTGTTCCAAAATTTTAATCGGTAAATAATGTTCATTAAGTAAGACTTTAAGTAATTTCCTCACTTTCCCCCAGGAAAGTATAGACGAAACAGATGACAAGAAGAGAAACTGGTTTATGTGACGAGGCGCCTTCGATGTGACTCCCCAGCATAATATATTTGCTATAGAGATGCAAAGTAAAATGGCACAAGACTCCAAATGCATGCACATATTGTGTATTTAAGATATTAATATATCTCTGGTAGCAAAACTGCTCGACCGCCACAACATTGCACAGGCGAAAGGAAATTGTTGCTTCATGTACACATCATGATTTTACAATGCCAATATTGCCATGTGCGTGGCGAAGTCGGCAACACACGTGGCTGCCAAGCGGAGGAATATACCTTTTTCAAAAGTCAGAGTCACCTTGAGGCAGTCCCAAACGCTATAATATTGCCGCTCTAATGGCGGTGATAAGAGATCCATGATCGGCTAAAGCAAGCCCCTTCGATTTCGGCAATCAAAGTGACGTAAAAGGACCAACATCTTTTCTCCTTTTTCCTCTAGGCTTTCGAAGACTTTCGCTTTTTCTGGTGCTTACAAGCTGTGTACTGCAGGCATTATACAGTCGGGTTTGGCTCTGTACTGGTTGGGTAGACTGACTTTAGGCAAAGGTCTATTGAGTTCGAACCCCACCCCTTTTTTGTTTAATAATTCTGGATTGTTCCGTAAAGGGTGCCTGCACGAGCTTTTGTTTAGGGTGATGTCATGCTTTGTACTATCCGATGCCGACAGCACGCGCTCACAGGTAAAAAAAAACAAAACAAAGTGTCGAGCACAAAATGTCGCCGTAGCATGGTGTAATCCCGTAGCACAGCCAGTCCGCGCCTCCAGCGCGTGGAGGGACACGCCCTTTCACGTGCTTCAGAGCATAAAAATAAGCCTTCGGAACTAAATGGCCACATGTCATCACCCTAAGCAAAAGCGTACAAGAAGACACACCAATTCCGTAAAGCTCCAGCGCTTTCACGGCTGTCATCAAGTGTTGTAAACCGGGTTGCAATAGTCCGTTCAGCCTTACGCTGAGACTGCAGCCAATGCCACAAGCACGAGCGCTCGAGGTCGCTGCTTTGAAGCATTCTTCCAGACAACGAGCGTTCCCGCTAGAAATGCACGTCTCAAAGCCAAGTGCGCGAGCTATGTCGTGTTTGTAGCTTTGGCTGTAGTCTCAACGTAATGGTAAACGGACCACAGAAAAGCGTCTCAGCTGAAGCTGAGTGAAAGTAAAGAGGTGAAAGAAAGCATTGCAAAGTGCTGGGGCGCGCGAGCGTCTGGAGACGGGCTTGAGTCCCGCTGAGCTCGTGCGCCGGCTTTGGCAGTGCTTTCTTTCGTCCAGTCTCAGCTGAGACGCTGTTTCTAGCAAGCCGGCCCTGGATCGCTACGTACCTCAACTGGATGTTTTGGAGGCAGTCTACGTTCAACCGCCGACGCTGGATGCTCGATGCCCTCTGTTTCAGCTGTCAGGCACAAGTTTACCTCATTAAACGTTTATTTTAAGTTTTCCCTTTCTATCCGCTCATTCTTATTCGTGACAATTAGCGGCGAGATGTTTTGGTGGCGCCCTCCTACGGTTTCCTCTTGTGACGTCATTACCTTGCGAACAAGTTCGATGGTGTTTGTAAATAGCATGGTGGAAGCTTCGAATCCTTGCGCTCCAAAAGCAACACTGCGAACACCCTCAAAATTAAAGTTCTTTCATTCCTCTTATTTTCGTCGATGATAAATCCTTTACTGACGTCATAGTCACCATTTGGCCAATCGTGGAAGGCCGACCACAGCGACGCTTTCGATCGCGCACGTAGCCAATAGTCCTTCCCCGATAGCACAATAGAACGAACTCATCAAGGGTTTGGCGCATGCGTGACGCCGCCATAACTTTAGTTCACAGGAGACAAACGGCAGTGCACGAGAGGGCTCGCGCCGTCTCGTGCTCTACACGCGCAGAGCTCCAGTGAGTTTGTCGCACGTGCAGAAAGACTAATGTTCCCTCGATGCATTGCGGCAGCGGTGGTGTAGTCAAACTGGCTGGTGAGATCAGTTTATTGCTCGACTGAAAATAGGCTGTACACTTTCGGTAACCGCACTAAATATTCAACGATGCGTAGTCATATGGCCACCGGTAACCTAAGAAGCGCCGGGCGTGATGAATCTCGATAATCCTGTTATCTCTCCGCAGCCAATCAGAGTGCGGCCTTAAGCGATATAATGACACCCGTGAAAGATTCACGCGTAAGCAAGAGCGTGAACACTATAAGCCATGCCGTGCGTTTCCTACGCTGTCAGGGACTACAGACATAAACATCTCGTGGTCTGTGGGTGCCATTAGATATAAACACGGCTTTGTAAATCATGTTTATAGTCTTATTCCAAATGAAACATTCAACGTCCTGCCTGTTTCAGAGCCATGACGACGCCGCCGATAGCGGGTACCTTGGTCGCCTCCTACGGGTATCGGAAAGGATCCATGTTCCTGTTTGCGATCCTTTTATTATGGGTGAGTCGGAGAATGACTATCGAAGGTGTTATACTTCGTTTCACTTCAAGTCCGAACGTCGCCGAGGCTACGATCCGATTAGGCCAATCAAACAACGTCAAGAGTACATCGTCGTGGCTCTAGATGTCTTTGTGTACGTTTGCTATCCCGGGCTAAAACAATCAAGCATAGTAAATTCCCAGTAACCCTAACCGTTTTGTTTGTTTGTATGTGATATCAAATGCACAAAGACGACGATCGATTTGCCGAAGAAATTTTTGGCGCTGCTTGATTGGCTACATCAAATGTTTGCTGCGGCCGGAGTTAAAGTGAAGTATAATATAATTGTGCTCGTCATATCGGTCTTCAATTTTCTTTCTTTTGAATCATTAGGATACATACGCCTAGTAGGCACACTGTGATAGAAATTTAGGCGGTGAGACTTGGTAATGACCACTCGTGCGAGCAGCTATACAGCGGCATTTAAGAGTGCTATTTTTTATGTCACGCAAAATTTACAGAGGATATAGAGGACAGCTGTCTTGGTAGATGAATATAAGTTTTATAAATACTTGCGTATATATATTTTTTTTATTTTTAGAGCGCAGCTCTTAGGCGCCCGTTTCCGTGTTTCGCGGCGTCGGCGTAACCACGCTAAATTTAGCATAAAGATTTACGTCACGTGACCTAAGCACCAATTCAGTTCCCCGCTAAATTTAGCGGAGAATTGAATTGTTTGTAGGTCACGTGATGTCAATTTTCCCGCAAAGTCTATCGGAGAAACTGAATTTGTTCATAGCTGACGTGACATCAAGTCATTTGGCATCATTTTCCCCGCAAAATGTCGCAGAGAAACTGAATGGGTGTTAAGGTCACATGGCGTCAATATTTCATCTAAATTTAGCGGCGAAACTGTGGAAGGACGTTAGGGTATGGAGGAGAAGGAGGGGAGGGTACGCAGGAGGAGGATGGGAGGATATGCATGAGGAGGCGAAAAGGAGGAGGGGAAAAGGAGGGGTTAAGGAGATGCTACGGAGGAGGAAGGGCATACCCTCCCCTCCATACCCTCTCCTCCTCCTCCTCCTCAAGAGCTGCGCCCTAATTTCGCATCACAGAGATTTGTAAACGTTTTCATTTTTCTTTACTAAACCATTAGAGATCAACTCGGTGCTAACAGAAATAAGGCTTCAGATGTGTGAATGAGTGCACAAATATTAATTGCTCAGCATGTTCTCGCATCCGAAGTTTGCCTATTCGTATAGCAACTCGACGCTCTATCAATATGCAACCATCTAAAGGGCTATGTATCGCATAGCAAACTTCAGCGGCGGTGCTCGTGTTTAGTATAAACGCATCAAATTTTGTGCGTGCATGCGAAAGAAACGTGGTCCGGTATGCAAATAAAAACTCGCTACATCTTAATTGAGGTCACACTAAATTACTGAGTGGAACTCATGGCCTTGCTCTTCTTTTACAGACACCCGTGACGCTTTTCCAGTGGTTACGGTCGATTATCTCGCCAAGCAACACTGTTCAAGTCACAGTAGTCGAAACAGGAGCGTGAGCTTGAACATACGGCATTCGGTAAACACGGTGCGACTAAACATTTGTAAATAAACACTACTTCCTTAATCTATGTTCATGTTATTCTGCCTGATTTCTTGATCTTGACAAAGTGAGCCTGGAATGTTCATGGCCCATTTTACAGAAGAGGTCTTATGGGCTAGTTTCCCCAGGATCGTGTCCGCCAGAAAAGAAATGTCGACACAACACTCTGGACAGCTGCTGCCATCTATATTCGTTGCGGCAACCAGACAACCAGCTTGCCAATTGTCTTGTTTCCGCCGTCGCTTATAGATGGCGGTAGCTGTCCGAAGTGTTCTGTCGACATTTACAGCATTTCCGCTCTGGCTTGCTAACTTGCGGCCGGCCATTATTTCACTCCTACCATAGTACAGCTCGGTGGTCTTCTCCAGAAAAATAGAAAGACAGAAAGTTTTTTTTTATGTTTTGTTCTCAATGAGTACAACATGCGTACCTTCGATCCCACCTCTGTTCTTGCTTTCTGCTTTCGCCGTTTTCTGAGGACACCATCCCGTCCGACTAACTACTCTTAGTACCTACCTTAGCGCGTATTTCTTTTTTTGTTTTGCAAGTATTTTTCTGTCATTGAGCTCATTTCTGGATGCCCCAGAATATGAAGAACAACATTGAAAAGTGTTAATTACGCTGGTAAATTAATGTTATCACAACATTTAGAACAGAGGAATATCCTACAAACCGAGCACAAGGTCATCTGCTCTTCGTGTAACTCGTACCTTTTTTTTTTATTTTTTTATTTTTTTTTTTTTTGGGGGGGGGGGGTGGCGGGGGGGGGGGGGGGGGTAGGTGTGACTGAGTGTTTTGACACCTTGGATTTTATGATGTTTGAGCCAAAAACTGTCCCAGGCTGCGTGCTCCTAATTCCGTTAACTTGCAGCCTCACTCTGTTTTACGTACGGCTTCTTGAAATTTCAACATTTCGGTGGGCAATTTAGCTGGCTAACTTGTGCGCCTTTAAGCATTCCTCTGGCAGCGTTTAACAAAAAGTTTAGAAACGGTAAAATATACGTTATATCATAGCAAAGATTATTCGATAAAACAGTTGTTATTGCTCTTCAGTGCATGTACGAACAAGGGCGTCTTAGAACGACCACCCGCGTAGCCGAGCAACGATACAACACACGCTATAGCTGTATTACGACTTGCCCATAGCAAAGTACGCTCAGTGAGCAGACTCGTGTGCTGCGTAGAATGCGCGACTTTTTACCGTTCGGCACGACTGAACGGCGAAAGTGTGATTCTGAACCCGATTTGCTTTCTCAGCTACCTTTAGCGGCGAAACGTTATACGCGGAAGGAGGGACGGATTAATTGCCGAGAGTATATGTCTTCCGTTAAAAAAAAAATGCCACGATCTTAAAATAAACATTTTTCTTTTAAAGCGGAGTATATTAGGTTCCATGGAAACATATCTCATGTTCAAATCAGTAAAGTTATTCTACCAACAGGGCTCTATGCCAATACTGCAAAATGTTGGGCAGACTGTCGCGCAGCATAAATCTCCGCAAGCTAATCCCCTCCTCAGCCCTCAAATTTTAGACGGCCGGCACATGGAGCTTGGAACACGTGTGGACACGGCAAGTTCTAGTTCCTCATACTGAAACGAGGCAGGTGCAATCCCCCGTATTTGAGCGGGAATACCTGGAGGGATGAACGGCACGTGACGTCGATTCAAAGATTCGGCGGCGGGTGCGGAGTACTTTTGTTTTTGATGACTCCATTTCACGTTAGAGACTTTTAGGGAACCGTTTTTGCGCGTCCGATACGATACGGGGTGTCCTCTGGTACGAACTGCGCATGCGCTACCGCAGAAGACTCGCACATGCGCAGTTCGTACCGGAAAACCGATCCTACCGTATCGAATGGGCTAAAAACGGTTCTCTAAAACTCTCCCTTAAAGGCCGACCGACAAGATACGAGATTCTACAAGTCAGAAGATCCTCCTCACCCCGGGGGAGGAGGAAACGCAACTATGTACAAGGTAGAAGGGGGAGAGGAGGAAGACGGGGAAAAGTGGAAAGCGCGAACTGGTTGTCGATCTTCCGACCGCAACCAGCGCTACGGTCCCATAGAACCAATCAAGCAGCGTAAAAGGTGTATCATCGCGAAACTCGTCATCTTTGATAATGTAGTGATTGCGCAGGCGACCTGGTGGATGTTAACCATTTTGTTCTTAGCCCGAGACTGAGGCAGGAAAAGAGGAAACAGTCCAGGACACGTCTCTAACACAGAGCTGTGTTAGAGACGTGTCCTCGACTGTTCATTTTTCTTCTACTTTGAAACTTTCCTCTTTTCCTGCCTCAGTCTCGGGCTAAGAACAAAATGGTTTGTCATCTTTGTGCGTTTGTATCAGCGGCTAAATCGTTTACACACATCGAATGCGCCATGACCATATAGTTTGGTTTTGTGCGTGATTGATTAGACGGTGGCATCAAACGCACAAAAACGTTTCGTGACGATGCACTTTTGGTGCCGCTTGGTTGGCTCCATCGTATTAAAGCGTTGACTGCGGCCGGGACTTAAAGTGAAGCTGGGTACGTCGAGTTTCTATACGCCTCGCAAGTGGGCTCATTTTCGTCTTCTGCGCATGAGAAAGGAAGTAGCGGTGACGTCAGAACGCCGAGTCCTGATTGGCTGATTGCGACCCCCTATCTCAGCGTCGTCTGCTCTTTTGCAACGTCGTCTGCTCGCAACGTCGTCTGCGTCTGTCTTCCCTTTCCTGCGACTTTCGGAAGTGCAGGTCCTTACGAGCGAGCTCGATTTCGCCTTTCAGAGAGGGCAGACAAAATAACTCGAGCGGTAGGTTGTTTTTGTCTAACAACTAGCAGACGCGCATCAAAGAGGGAAGTCAAAGGACTCACTGGCGAGGTGTCCCGAGGCGTCGAAGTTTGTTTGCTAAGAACCGAAACTGAGCGTGTTACCGCTCATTCACACTGGAAGCGGATCCGAAAACGCGGTTGCATGAAGGTCTAGTGCAATTGCACGCCCACACGATGACATCAAGTGCGCGTGCAATTGTATTGGATCTTTATACAACCGCGTTCGCAACCGCTTTGCGATCGCGGATCCGCTTCCAGTGTGAATGAGCGGTTAGTGTCCGCAAGTTCCCTCCCAAATTCTTTTTACCTCCTTTCGTGTGCGACGAGAACCCTCAGTCTTCAACGGCGTCGGCGAGTTGGCGCAGTTAACGTCGTCTGCTTTACGTCTGCTAGTCAAAGCGATGGCTGCTTTACCTTTCCTGCGTCTGTCGGAGATTCACCGCTTTTTCACCGGCGAGAGTCACCGTTACCTCGGGAAACAAGGAGATAACAAGAGGAAGAAATTGACCTCTTAATCTAAAATTGAGGTCATCGATCAAAGTATAATACGGGAAGGGTTCACAAGGGTGAAGCGGGCATATTCCATTCAGCACGCCAGCCGGTCGTGGGCAGACGGTCGCCGAGTCGGGGTGTGCCTACTCGGCCTAACTGCCAAACTCGCTTGGTCGCGTTCGGTGGAATCGTGGCCGTTGGAGCTTTTCCCGGGTGTTTGTGGATCCAGCGTTCTTGTTCGTCGTGGTCTGTTTCAAGTACTTTTTACTTTTTTCTTGCTGCTTGAAGTCAGGACGCGTGAGAAGCGCACGTAGAAAAATAAACGTCCGTGGGTCGTCGCGACCGCGACGCTGTCGGCCATGCTGATTTGATCGTAAGAAGTGCGGAAGACAGCTTCGGAGCTGTCGTAGGATTTCGTCGTAACTTGCGCAAAACTTACGAAAATATCGTTTCGTGAATACGAATTTGTTCTTAAGTTTTTTCTTACGCACATTTTTGGCGTACAATTGGGGGAAAATGAAATGCGAACAGAGGAGCGCGTGGCTCGCGGTACAGGCTGCGCCGCCTGGAAGTGAGCCTAGGAGCGAGGGTGCGTGGCCTACTCCGACGTGTTAACGCCTCTCCCTCTGCGCTCCCCAAGCTTCAGCAGTGCGCCTCTTAGTGCGCTGAAAGCTATCACCGCTATCTTTGCTGGCTCAGCGCGAGCGGTGCAAAGAAGCTCGCTGCACTCGCCGAGCAGGCAAAGATAGCGGTGACGGCTTTCAGCGCACTGAGAGGCGCACTGCCGAAGCTGGGCGAGCGCCAATCGAGGGGCGTGAACAGATCGAAGTTGGCCACGCACCCTCGCCCCTAGGTTCACTTCCAGGCGGCGCAGCCTGTACCGCGAGCCACGCGCTCCTCTGTTCGCATTTCATTTTTCGCCGATAGTACAATCATTTCGTGAATCTGGCCTCTGCACTTCCGAAAGTCGCAGGAAAGGTAAGACAGACGCAGACGACGTTGCGAGCAGACGACGTTGCAAAGGGGCAGACGACGCTCAGATAGGGGGGGGGGGGGGGGGGGTCGCGATGAGCCAATCAGGGCTTGGCGTTCTGACGTCACCGCTACCCCCCCTGCTCAAGAAGCAGACGAACTTGCCCTCCGCATAGGAATACGAAGCTACAGGATGGAGAAATTGTCAAGCCTCAAAATGAGGAAAAGTAAAAACGCAAGATGTAGCTGCCATAATAAATTGCCAAAAAATGCAAAAGAAAATACTCAAGTCAGGGTTGTCATGTCACGTTTTCACATAACCGAAGCGTGTGCGTCACATGGCAAGAATCTCACGTGAGCTTTTTTTGACCGCCTTCTTGAGCTGCGACGTGAGCTCGAAATGCCGTTCTGCGTTTTAATGCACACTTCGATCTGAACAAAAAGCGTTAAACGCCGTCATCCTTTTAATGGAATGAGTAACGCCGAGGGTCATCAGATATGCATTCGGGATATCATCTCAAGGTAGATCACCATCGAAGGTCGATTTTACGTCTCAACGTGATAGTTGCTTTACGTGGATTTTACGGGAGGCTAAAGCCGCGGTTTGTCGCACATTATACATACAGAAAAATAAACGAAGAAGTAAGGCTGGGTCACTCACAGTGCTACATCAATATGTGTAAGTAGGTCTGCAGTGTGTGTAAAGGGGCCTTCACACGGGAAAGAAATCACCCCCTTTGCTCCTTGGGATG